GTAGCTTTGGTTTGGGTCGCTGACACGCCTGCACGGACTAGCCCTATGAACAGGTTAGGCGCAAATTGGCAGAGACAGAACAGAGGCTACAAGAGGAAAGGCTCGAGCACGTAAAGCGCTACCTTTAATATGCGATTAACCTCTTCTGATAGACGGGTGTGCATCTGTTCAGGCTCGTGTCGTTGAGGCTCTGGAAGAGCGGCTTGAGAATGCTAAGAGGAAGCGGAAGCAATCGAAGGAAGCATTGCTGCAGGCTCAGAAAGTAGGATATATCTCGATGATCAGTCGCGATTTTGATGTTTGTGTATACAGGAATTGACGGATCTGCAAGCCACGCGCGAGCAGGAGGACGAGACACTCTATCCACTTGAAGCTGACGAGCAATCGTACAAAAGTCTTGACGAAAACGACGCAATGCCGACCAGCAATGACATACAAAACATGGTCAGATTGTTTTCTCGGGTCTGCTTCTACTTGAACATTCATAACCTCTAACAGGAACCACTTGGGTACAAATACTTCGCTTCCACAGTACTCGGCGGCCAAAATTCCGCCCATTCGACGGTTTCGGGTTTTGCTCATTTCCCAGCGTCCCTGACTCATGGCCCAACATCCGCAAGGTCAGTCGATCTTGCACACAGTTACTGCACATTTGATAAATTTGTTGTCACCCATCACGTATGTGTAGAGCTTGACTGAACCATAGTACGTTAGAACAAGAAGATCTGCATTTGAAAGGCCCAAGCTGACGATGATCACAGTGCCCTAGATCGCGCTTGGACATACACACAGACCGATACCCTCTGGTCGCCTACACATGACAGATGCCTGTTCCTGCATCCTGATCAGCAGTATGACCAGCACACCGGGGGAACAAACACGATTCACGCGGTAGGGCCTCGGGCTGGCGTCAGGCGCGATCTTTTCCTCAAAGACAAGGGAAAATGGACGTATTGCGGTGTCTATGAGTGTACAAGTGTCTCCAATGAATCTCTCGAGGTCCTACTTTGCCTCACGGGACTGCAGGTTAGTGTCCTGGTCTCCGTCACCATCTGCCCGGCTGATTAATGGTTGGGCAGAATCAAGCCATCAACACGATCATTCAGCGAACTTGTGGCCCCGAGATCAGTAATCGAGAATTGAACACGAAAGTTCGGAATATGTATCATTCTGGGCAGATTCTCGTACGCTGCCACAAGTTGGAGAAGGTCGGCACCAATCGGGATATCGAAAACGCGATTAGTGTACGGAGACGCGAATATGACGGAAAACTGGAGCTGTTGAATCCAAAACACACTTCCGACGAGAATGGAAGTGGAAGCCGGAAGAGGCTCAGGCTCTCCTGAAGATAGGCCGGTATGTAAGGCATGATCTTGTTGAACCGTCCTGACTAGCATGTAGAGTTAGTTAGACCCCCGATTCTTGTGTGCCCGTATTCACAGGTGCTCGATCTTGGCACTCATCCTGACCATCGTACGCACGTATGACTATCACTGTCGCTATCTGCTAACCTCAGGATGCAGTGCTAACCGCTGCAAAGCCGTCTTCCTTGTCCAACATTGTTTTCATACTGTTGCTCTCGTGCTATCTCGTCGAATGCATTCCGTTGCACCATATCATGTCATTCATATATCAGTGCGACCTCGATTGATCAAGGCAGGTCACTGACGACTCATGGTGTCGTCTGCAAACTCACTCAGACTCCGTGGCACATCATTACAACAGGGACTGCGTACATAAACTATGTTACAGGATATAGACCGATTCCACTTTGATACATTCATCTGGGCTTTGAAAGCCTCACGACAGTCGCTGCCTCTTCTTGCCCCCTTTCTTCTGCGCCTTCTGCCGTTTCTTGTCCTTCTTCTGCTTTACGCTAGCTTGACACTTGACGAATGCCGCCTTCACCTTTTCGTCGTATCCAACCAGCTGAAACCCATAGCATCGGATGGGTAACGTTCCGTCCCAGTACAGGTCGCGCAGGGCCTTCGTGATGGCGCCCATCGTCTTGGCGGTCGACCGCTGGAACTCGCCGCCCAGGACTCGCGGCGTCTGTTGCGCGAGGCTATTGAACAGCGCGTACTACGCTCGGGTCAGAATCGTCTATCCAGAGTACAAGCCCACGACGCGGTGCTCACAGATCTGGACTCGTCGAGTTTGCAGAGATCTTCGAGTCGCAAGATGGACATGCCGGTGCACTTGTATGTCCCGCAGTAGTACCAGGTGCCCCCGTGGAGAAGCAGAGATCGCGCGACTCGCCTACTCGGGGCCAGTCCTTGCACGCCTTGCGATCCGTGGGAGGCTCGGGCGCGCAGATGTGGAAGTTGTAAAGCTGGGCGGGGTACACCGAGATGCATCGACTGAGATCTTTGTACGGCGTCCAGATGGTCATGTCCGATATGCACTTCTGCACCTTTCCGGTATACCTGCCGCGATAGCGTCAGCGTCGATACCCGTTGCGCATCGAGAGCGGGTGAATACCTCATGCTGGATAGGACCTAGGCGAAGTAGGTGAATCACTGCGAGGAAGCAACATTGACGCGTTCTTACCGGTTGAAGTGCCTTCCATACACCCTTCCCGAAACGCTGGTGAAGAGTTGCTCAAATTCGACAGGCGGATTGGGAACTATCCATCCCGATCAGTCTGAAGGAACTCGTTGATGTCGAACTGATGGTCATCGCAAGACATATCAACTGAAGCGGACAATATCAATCGAACGGCGGACTCACGTCGCGAATCGTCATGTCAGCCAATCTGAGCATATCAAGGTCATCATCCTCGTCTCCTGCATCACTCCACAGTGCGTCGTCGTCGGGATCAGCGTTGTCGGTCCCAGACCCATCTTCGGATTCTGAGTCGGACAACACTTGAGCTTGCGTGGAGGGCGGGGTTGGGTATATCTCTGGCGACAATGTCAGATGACAAGTCCATCTGAAAGCAAACGAGCTGACATACCCGAGGAAGAAGTCTCGTAAAAGGCGCATCTCTCTTTATTGCTCTCTGAGGGAGCGGCCGTACGACGTTGGGCTGTGACATGTATATATCAGAGTCAGCGAGCGTGTGGTGCTAACCATGGCTACCTTCTCTGTCTTGACCTCGTTGGTATCTTGAATTGTGAGGTGTTCCAGTCCGCGCTGTGCTTCATCGTAAATCTGCACAAACGCGGTATGTCAGTATCAGCTTTGCGAGTCAACAACACGCATTGCACTCGACGTACTGCGTCTTCGACATCCAGCTTCCGTTTCCTGCCTTTCTCTTTCATTGTAAAATACAAAGTCTCCTAATTGCGCTTGCACTCAGCACTGATTTGACGCTAGGAGAGCGCACCTTTTCAAACAAGAAACAAACATACCGATTCAAGTTCCAACGCCGCCAAGGCCCGGCGCCGCCGCGGCACGACTGGGAGCGGCACTATCACAAAGTCAATGGTAGGCTCCTCCGAAGCCCCGCAAGGTTTCGCATTCGCATTCGTTAGATGCGACGAGTTGCTATGTACTTGCTTAGGACCACGACAACGACACGATAGTATGAACACGAGAGGATCGACCTGGGATCGACTATGTTCTTTTTATCTCCGAACTTTACGCGTGCCGGTAAATCCCCGTAAATTGGGATCGTGCAATCTCGGCTGCCCGACGCTGAGTCAGCGATCCCAGATCCCGTCCCGCTCACCCTTCCTGCACGGCGCGATGTACGCGTTCTGTCATGCAAGGATAAGTCTCTTGAGTGCACCCGGACTTGGTAACTCAGTCCGTCGAGCTCGGAAGCGTAAAATTCGAGTTAGTTTCAGTAAAACTAGGTGCCTACCATGCTCGAGATTCGCAGCGCACGGAGACGCAGACAGAGCAATGCACGCCCTGTCCAAGGCGTCCACTTTCCTCGCGCCGCAGGCCGCAAAAAAGTGACCCAAACGGGCAAGATGCGGCTGGGTGTGGAAGCGCCAAGGCGCGTTTACATCACCGGCGATCAAACGTCGCTTCGCTTGCTCGCCCAGGCCGCGCGCGTGCCCTCAGATTTACTGGGTACCCACGCACGGACCAGGAAATTTACGAGATTTACTCGGGCCGAGTAAAATAAAGTGGGTGCCCTACTTTATGCACTTACTGCACTTAATGATCGGGCAGGTACTGCCCATCACATTTACCGCGTACACGGCCGCTTCTACGGGCCAATCGCGGGCCTAGAGCGGCCAGGCGGTGTATCACACACACCGTTCTATGGGCGCGACGTTCCCACGCACCGACGGCGCCGCAGGCGCGCTCAACGCGATGTGCACCGACGTGCCTACCGACGTGTTGCGCCCGTGTCATCCGCATTAGGCAATGCTGGCGGGGTGTAGCGCCCGTGTAATCGTCATTAGTCACAGGCGACGCGTGTATGCGGTCGCTTCTATTGGTTACTCGCGGGTCTAGAGTACCTCGGGGACAGCCACGCCCATCAGCAGCCATTAACGCGCGCTTTGTATCGTCTTACTGCGCCGCAGGCGCGCTCCCGAGCGATGTATCCCCGCCACCGACGTGCCCCGTGTGCCCCCGCCCAATTAGGCAGCCCCAGCCACCTGCCACCACAGGTCCTGAGTGGCCTGGGAATGCGCTAGGCCCAACAGCCGGCGCCTGCGGCGTTCCTCGCACTCACGGCGCCGCAGGCCCGCTCTACGCGATGTATATTCCGCGCCCGACACGTCGCGCTCTCGCCCTTCCCGATTAGGAAACCCCAGCCACAGCCGCCACTCGCCACGACACCAGCCACCTCAGCCACCCGCCACAGCTTGCCGGTGGCGTGCCGAATCAAGATTGAGATCCGATCACTGATCGGACGGACTTGCCATACGAGGCAAGCCGCTTAGCGCCTCCGCCAAGCGACGGTAAATCTCCCGACCTAAGTAACGTCCTCCGGTTCAAGTAACGGGTGATTACGTCAGCGGCAGAGTGGCTGAACGCACTGATAATCATACTACTGAACGTGAACCGTAACGCCGCCTTCAACTTTGCTCGCAGTCGTCCAACATCGACGTTTCGCCTATACACTCGCCACTCGCAATGGTCAAACCCCGGCTTCATCGCCCATCTTATGCTTCTGCTAAGCCTACAGAGACAGCACGTAAGAAGAGATAGGTCACGATCAAAGGGGTGGAATGGCCTTCTCTGTCACTCCGCGCACAAGGTTTCGGGCATGCAACGCGTACTAGTGATCCTCCTCAACATTGTGTACTATCGTGATGTCTCCGAGGGTGACGACTCTCTGGATCCTCCCTTCCGTCTATCATCAGGTATGTACGTACGTTGTCTGGCAAGTTCGCTACGGATGTCAACGGGGAAATGTGGTGTCATAGGGACTCAAGCTCTGCGTCACGATTGGTGATGTTCTGGGAATGGGAAGTCCTTCGGTGGTCCTTTCACAATGAACGCAGGACCATTCTTCCCATCGAGATATGTGAGCGGGTCATAGATATCGTGTACCTCGACATCACCCATGCTTTGGAGTATCGCCTGAAGACACTGCGCGCGTGCATGCGGGTCTGTCGTGCATGGGTCCCTCGCTGCCGATACTACCTGCTGCACGGCGTGACCCTCGAGGATCGGAAGCAGCTCTGGAAGTTCTCTGCGCTGCTTACCACGGATCGCGGCTGCCGTGCGTACGTCAAATAGCTCGAGCTCATCTCAAGAGGGGATTCCGCGTTTGTCAGAGCATTCCCCTTGATGCTCGCTCGCAAGTTGCCCAGCGTGGAACATCTGCGCTTGTCTGGCGGGACTACCGGCGCCCGCTGCGCTGCAGGAGCCAAGTCGCTGCCTGACCCCCAACTCCATCGAACCTACTTCCCCGCACTATCGGGCCTCGTCTCACTCAAGACCATGAAGCTGGATTGCGTGGTGTTCCCTTCACTGGCGACAATTCTTCGTATCTGTGCAGCGTTGCCGAATCTAGCCACCTTGGAGTGCCATACCGTGGAGTGGTCGGCCTCTAGCGCTAGCGCGCAGTATGTGCCCGTGCGCCCTCCTTCGCTCTTGACGTTGTATATGTTTTCTGCGACGATACCCTCTCTCATTATGTTTGGCCACCTTCTCGCTTGAAAACCTTGAGTTCTGCGATCAGGGTACGGACGACTCGGAGGTTCCGCTGACATTCATAGTCATCACCCTCCCGAATGCTCGGGATACTACGAGGCCCTAGTGTCCGACAAGAAGAGGGCGACTCTACTCACCCTTCACCGGGAATTCATTCATACTTGTATCGGTAGGTTCGGCCATTTATGGCGAGGACTGCGCAAGGACTGACCGTACTGAACGCCGCCTCGGGCGCTACTTCACAAGTGTCCTGCTTGCACTCGCAACAGTCGGGCACCGCCGCCTTCAAGCGTTTGCCACGCTGAAAATAACAGCGCGTACGAAGAGACCAAAGGGGTGGGTGGCCTGCCGTACCCGTCCGCATACAAGGTTTCGGGCCTGCTAGTGGGGTACTTCATCATTGAGTACTATCATCTCCGAAGGTGACGCCTCTCTGGATCGTCCTATCAGTCCATCGTCAGGTACGTGCATACGTTTTCTGGGGAAGTTCGCTACGGAGGCTAATAGGGAATTGAATGCGCTGTCACAGGGACTCTGCGTCATCGTCGGTCGACGGTGCTGTTCTGGGAATGTTCATGAGAAGTCGTTAGCATCGTCTCACTCGGGCACAGAAAGCAGTGCCTGTGGCGCGTACTGTTCTGTATCGTTAATGAGGTGTGTGGCTACAATCTCCATTGCACTTAAGCCTTCAAATGACTAGCATCTTGGGGTCCATTTTGTCGAGCCAAGTCATGCCGTCAACTACCAGCACTCTGTGGAGCACACTCGATAAGCCCGGTACTTATGTCAATCATGGTTTATTGTAGACCAGTGACAAGTGACATTTTGCTCCACGTTCTCTCGGCTCTATAGATAATGTGTTCTACCTGCAAGATCTGTTCCCTACCTGGTCCTCGCATGGAACAGATAGGTTTCCGAGTCAACGTATCTCTAGGTACACCGTACGTACCACAAGAGTCCAGCTGAGATATGCAACTAAGCTATTGACCCCAAAACTCTATTCTTACAACCACTAGCACGGATGTGCCGTTGGAGGCGTCGTCTGCATGTGGGTATAGGCACTGGGTTGCGGCCGAACGGCCCGTCGTCTAATGTATGCTCACATTGAGTCTCCATCTAGGCGAATGCCGTCGATGTCTCCCACACGGTGCAGTGCGACAGATATGCAACAGTGTCGGCATATTAGCTGTTATAACCCCGGGTTGTTGTATGGCCCGGGTATTTTTGCGACCGTGTTCCTGGCAGCCCTTGAGTTGTTTCACAGGCAGTGTACGTTGATGGGTACTGCGAATGTTCAGCGTCCCGCTGGTGCCATCCATCCCTATATCTGTAAGCACTAATAAAATAGTGCGAACATGTTAGCAGCTTACTAGTACCAACAGGATTAGCGTCGACCCACAGCAACCGAGTATTAGAAGGTTGGGAAGATTTCAGCCTAGGCCATTACGGTAAATTTCCAAACAGGTCCCCGAGTCTGCAGCTCTACTGCCTACTCCACCAGGCAATTGGGTCTCGGTCTATTGCTAGTGCCCTCAACACGATGTCCGATCACAATCGGTGCCGGAGATTTAGTGCCCTCAAATGCTGTTTGAACTCCCCGAGAGCGCATTGTCAAATCACAGTCTAAGAAGTGCGTCGTTGCGCGAATTTTATCACTTCCTCCAGCATTCTCTAGCTCGTTGGTAGGCCCGTGTTCTCAGGCAAAATGTCCTCCACACGTGAATCATTCCTCCTTCCTGACATCATGCACTTCCTACCCTTCAAGGGTTCCATCAATCCCCATTACGAGCGTGCGGCCAAGGCTTCCTCAGCCTGGGTCAACAGCTATAGCTTCGTACCGGAGCACAAGCGTGTCTTCTTCCAGCAAGGCGGCAGCGAGCTCCTCTGCGCTTATACTCATCCCTATGCCGGCTACGAAGAGCTGCGTACCATCATGGATTTGATCAATCTTCTGTTTGCCATGGACGAAATCAGCGACGACCAGAATGGGAAGGTCGCATACAAGACTGGACGCATCCTTCTGAACACTCTCCGTGATCCTGACTCGAGCGATGGATCGGCACTGGTCCAGATGACGAAGGGGTGAGGATGTACGCCATTTCGTGATTACACTCTCACAAAAAACCACTTAGTTTCCGCGAGAGGCTTTTGCGATTCAACCGACCCGCATGCTATCAGCAACTGATCAAGCACACTGAAGATTATGTGAATGCGGTCGTTTTAGAAGCCGAGTTACGGGAGCGCAAAGAGGTCCTTGACCCTGATGCATACATCGTACTGCGCAGAGAGAACAGCGCCGTCCGCTGTTGCTTTGCACTGTTCGGGATCATCCTTGGTGCCGAGCTCCCTGCCGAAATCCTAGAGCATCCTACCATGATGCGCCTTCATCTTGCCGCTGTTGACATGACCTCCTTGTCAAACGTAAGTGTATTTTCATTGCGAAGTTGATCATTTACTGAGAACGAAGCAGGACCTCTATTCCTACAATAGGGAACAAGCAATGGGCCACGCGGGAAGTAACTTTCTAACCGTGTTGATGAAGTCCAAGCACTGCGACCTCCAAACCTCCGCCGATCATCTCGGTGCGCACTTCAAGCAGCTCATGGACGATTTCCAAGTCGACAAGACTCGCTTGCCATCATGGGGTCCGCAAACGGATGCAGTTGTCACCAGATTCGTGGTGGCCATGGAGATCTGGGTGGTTGGTAACTGCGAATGGAGCTTCGAGACGCCGCGTTACTTTGGTGCTCAGAGGGAACAAGTCAAGCGCACTCGTGATGTCGAGTTGTATCCACAGCGCCATGAGCATGATGGGTGAACGTTAAGGTTTGACCACCCATACTCCGTGTTCTTGCTCAAATTGACATCGAGAGTTTAGTATCCCTGCCATCACTATATCTACACCCGCATAGGTGCCGATTGCGCCAGTAGACGGCCAATAACTTGTATATCTTGTACCTGCCCATGTATGCATATGCGTCAGCCAAGTCCGCGCGCCACATTTGCTGTGTATTGAAACAGACGCATGGTTAGTCGAGCTCTACACAACACCGTGTCGATGTCCATGTAAAAACCGGTACGTAGTACTTGCGTTCTGTCTCGAGCTGTTCACTAGTATCTTCAAGTTGTCATCGATGTTCGTAATAATCGGGTACACGGTCACATGATACATACCAGGCGTCTCGCGTCGCCTCGCTTCCGCGACTTTTCAAGTTTGGTCCCTGCTACGATCTACTGCTCAGCGAGGCTCAGTACGTGGTACACTACTTCCTTGCCATGAGCACGTCTTCGAACCTGGAGTCTCCTTTGGAGCGGCCTCGTCTACAGTCAGACTCCGTCGGCGAACTCCAGGCCAGCTTCACTCAAGATGCAGATTTCTGGTATGAAGACGGGAATATCATTATCGTCGCCCAGGAAGTCGGCTTCCGCGTCTATAAGGGCTTTATCGCATCGAGGTCTGAGGTCTTTCGGGATATGATAAGCCTTGCCCAGCCTGTCTTGGATTCTTCGTGCGAAGGGACTCTGGATGGCTGTCCTTATGTTCACGTCTCCGATACGGCGGCGGAGATCCGCTCGCTGTTGCGCATTCTGTTCATCGGCAGACAGTACGTCTTCAAACCGTTCAACCTTATTGAAATGACCCTTATCTCTCTTTCGATCTAGGTATATGCGCCGCACAGACTTGGAGTTCGACGACATGGCCAATTGTATCCGGCTCGCGCACAAGTACGACATACCGGATCTCCTTGAGGATGCCTTGGAAAAGCTGGAAGGATATTATCCGGAGTCGGACCCGGATTCTTGGGACACTGTTTGCGGAGACGGTCCGTCCACGAGAGCCATTGTCGCCCTCAACCTGGCGCATCTCACCGACACGCCATCCATCTTTCCTGCTGCCATGTACGACTGCTGTAATCTGGACGGCCAAACGATACTAGCGGGTAGAATTCACAGCGATGGCGCCGCGGATTTTCTGAGTCCGGTGGACCTTGCGCGCTGTATTGACGGGAAAGCAAGACTCTGCTCCCGCAATTCTCAGGTCATCCGTGAAGTCTTAGCCCCCCTCAATAACGCAAACTGTTCGGCGCCGGACAATCAATGCAATGCGAACATCGCCTCTATGCTCTCAGACCGTTTGTGGGACGCCACCACGCTGACCTGCAGCAACATTCTCGCGCCTTGGGACGATATCTTCCACGCTCATTACCGCAAGACGAAGCCCAAACCGGACCTCCTTCTATGCTCGTCATGTATCGCTGCGCTGTGCAGACGAGCGAAGACGGTTCGCAACGATCTCTTCCTTGAGATACCGAAGTTGCTGGGTCTCGTCGAACAGCCTGTTAAGGAGAGTCAGGATGGTAGTTCTTCCTATGGAGATGATTGACAACTGACACTACGGTAAGAACCCGTTTCCCGTTTCTCGCTATTGTGCGCATGTGTCTGACCGCGGGCTGGGGTTCACACAGACCGTATAGACGAATGGACATGTGCTTCACATGAGATGGTGCGAACCGAATGACTGCGATGGACTACTAGGCTTCCCGACCAACTGCACTGTGACCCCATGGCCTTGTCGAGTCGTCATTCACTTAGCTGATTTCTATGATAACTTTGATCAGTCGGTGTCTCAGACTCGCTCCATGTACGAGTTTCTGCGCATTCGAGTGACAGCGTTGAATTGTATCCTGTCTTCGACTGCATCTAGGTGTTCAATTCTGGGAAGCTATGCTATTATTGATGCGAACAGTCTCTTGTTCGCGTTCCAAAGAATCAGATTGTCGTGTATTCCACTCCGAGGCGGACCATATGGAACCTTTGTAGCAGCAATCTCAGCATCAATCCTCCATCGTTCCTGGCCTATCATCATACGCCTCATCATCCCGCTCCGAGTCGGAATTGTCTGGGTCTGGGACCTTCCATCCGTTGGCATTCTCTATTGTCAACGATTGCAGCCTCTGTATCAGCTCCCTGGCTTCTTGTTGGGCAGCAGTCTGCGCAGTGTTCCCTTCATCATCCGGACCCGAACCGTCGCCGTGCGAAACCCCCTTGCCTCTCCACCCGCCATGAGCCTTGACGTAAGCTAGGAACTCCTTCCATACACCGTCAAGGACAAGGACATCCGGGTCACCAACAACGATGAGAAGGGCCCGTGCTCGGGTGATAGCGACTAAGCGCATGTCGTAAGAATTGTATGTCGGACAATGACTACTCGATGTATGACTTACCGTTGAACCTCTGAGGATCGCCAACGAAGCCCAAACGCTGCCGCATGTCTCTGATCGCATGCGCGGGGTTGCTACGCACAGTCGACATGATAATGATACGACGTTCCTGTGCCGTGAACCATGAGCCATCGAGACGCTCTATCCCGCGAACTTAGAACCTACCTGCCCTTGAAAAAGCTCCGTCGTCCCCACTTTCACGCCTTCTAGCCGAGTTGACGACCGTCCGAGCAATGCGCGAATTTTTCCGCATTGCGCAGTGTACGGGCTGATGATCCCGATGTCCTTTGCATCTGGCGAGGTCGGCGTCAACGACCACGAATGCGCGGAGTAAATCACGAAGCGTACCGATAGGAACCTTTCGATCATTGATGAGCTCCTCGCAATATCTTGTGACCAGCGATGCCTCTTCCTTGTTGAAATAGGAAGGCGAACCTTCCTCCTGCTCATCCCTGCCACCAACACCGTGGAATACGATCGGGAACTTAGGATTCAGGCCATCTAGGCACGTCGACCGAAGCATGCTATGCGTGATAGCTTCATCACCGCAGGGCAGCAGTTCGTTCGCGTAGAAACGTCGGTTTGAGAACGCGATGATCGCGGGGTGCGACCTGAAATGCTTTACGAGCTTCGTGATCCTGCAAGTCCAGAGGTCAGTGAATTTATTAGTTGACGAGGAGGAAGATTACGAACGTTATTCCTTTGTAGGCGCTCAGATCATAGACTGGCATGTTTGACAATCGTTCCATGTAGCTATACCTCAGGCCGAGGTCGCGACCGATGCTCGAGTGGATGACCGGGCCCAGCTGCTTGATGTCTCCTGCAAGAACAATGTTCGTGTTCGCGTCTGCGAGGAGCTTGAGGGGTATCATCGTATCAGGCTCCGAGCACTGGCCCGCCTCATCGACAAACACATGAGTAAACCAGCCGCGGGCAAGGCCCAGGCTATGCGGGACAGCCGCAGACACGCAGGTCGTCACGACGACCCTGAACGACTTCAGGACTTCGGCTTCAGGCATGGCATACACTCTGTTCCCGTTGATCATGCAGAAGTCCTTGAGCGTTTTTTGCAGCCCTGCTCTGATAGGACGCCATATAGCATTGAGGCGGAACAGTTGCTGGGGCCCCAGTTCCATCAGCTTGAACGCGAGCAGGTCGGCGGCGTCGTTCGTCGGTGCGCACATGAGGAGTCGAGCGTCAGGATTGTTCTTGAGGATCTGGAGGGCGGCCTCGACCAGGGTCACCGTCTTGCCAGTACCGGGGCTACTCAGCGTCAGCGAGGCGACTCGACTGTCGAGTATAAAGACGGTACATACGGGCCGAATACCACGAATGGGACGCTGCCTGCCGGCGCGTTGGATATGGCCGCAACTACTTCCTTCTGTTCAGGATTGTCGATGAGAGTGTGGTCGTCAAAAACGAAGCAGTTGATATCCGCTGCAGAAGGGCGATGCAGGTCCTGAGCATGACTGCCAGTAGGAAACAGAATGCGGGACTGGTTGTTGTCGAGCACGACCGCTTGCTGGCGCCGCCGCCATGGCATGCGGTTCAGCTGGAACTTGACGTTGACCAAGCCCTGAGACGAGCCGAGTTTGAACTTCGGGTTGATGCGCATGATCACTTCCTGCAAGTCAACCTCGTGGATCACGGCTTCGTGCCAGATGTCAGGGTTGTCCTGCTTGCACACGAGTAGTTTGTCTCCGATTCGCACAGTCGGCTTTCCCTCTATAAGACCCGGGATGTAGAGCCTGTCCGTGTGTCAGCACGCTCAAGACGGAAGTCAACCGGTGGAGCAACCAAACTTACTTATATCGACTGCCTACTGCGTGAAGGGGAGCATTGAATAGATCGTAATGCGCCAGGTCCACACTGAATAGACGGGCAGATTCAGTATAACCTATGACCGTAACACGTTGAGAAACAAACCTCTGTTGCCACTCCTCGGAATGGAGCAGCGTGCTCCAGAACTTGCCGTACGTCCCCATGTTCAAATCCCCAGGCATGAATCTGCCACGGATCTCGCCCACAGTCTTCTTCACATTCGCTGCATTCAATACGTCCGCCAACGCCTTCGGGATGGGAAACTCTGGCAGCTTGACCACCCACCGCACCTTGCTCCATGTCGGGGGGCGCCTCGTAGGGACGGCGTGCGGAGTCGGCTCGAGCGGGCGGAAGATGGGTCGGCGGTACGGGCCCTTGGACTTGAGCGCGTCATAATCGGCCGCGGGCCCGACAACGGCGAGCACACGCCGCAGGATGACGAAGCGCTCCTTCCGGTGCACGTCGTGGAACTCGAACTCGAGTGTGTCCTCGAAGCGGCCGACATACGAGGAGTGGAAGGTGACGACGACCGTACGTGGCTTCCCGTGATTGACGAAGCGCGAGGCGCCGCGCAGGATGGCAGAGAAGCTGGGATGCGCCGGGTTGGTTAGAGCTGCGGATGTCCTTGATGTGACTATTAGATGGCGTACCTGGAGCTCTGGGTTACCGTGTAGGAGGAAGAGAACTTGATGAGCGCAAGGGAAATCAAGGTTCCCGGTACATCATTGGACACTGTCACTTCCAAGGTGCACTCCGCAGAAACCGCATGCACAGAGTCAACTTCGACGGTGCCAAAGTCAATGCCGGCCGCCCCGCCCGTCACCGACACGCCGTTCCGATTCAGCTGCGCCGACTGCGTCTGTGCGGTCACATCTGCGTACTGCTGGCGTCTGCGATGATACTGGTCTGTCTCGATGTGGGCTTCCCAGCGCGTTGCCGGGAGGTCGCGCTCGCAGATGGGGCAGCGGATGTACCCGGAGCTGTTGGAGGGGAAGGCCAGCTCCGTCAGAGGGCGCTTGTGTGCGTCGCCTTGCATGTGCATGTCATATGCCTGCATATTTTCGAGCAGGATGCTGCATATGTCGCAGCGTACTGCCGTCGGAGGGATATGCGTACGTCTGCCTTCATTGGAAGCACTAGGCGTCGATGTAGGACCAGGACCAGAGGCGTGAGCGGGACCTAAATGTATGGACATGAGCTTCCGAGTCAGTTATATGCAGAACACAGAAGAACCTTGAGTGGGACAAGTGCGCCGGATCCCATCTAGGTGCTTCCTTCCACGGAGGTGTTCCTTCCTCTGTTGATCACTGTTCAGCTTGACGATCTCGCCACACGAGCACAATGATCCAGTGATAGACAAAGCAGGCACGTCCGTACGCGTCCCGTTCCCAATCGGATACGTAGGATTATGACCTGATGTAGATTCATTGGAGTGCTGCTGCGTGCCTGACACAATACAGTTAGCGATGCAGTATAAGATATAACGCATACAGTCAGCTTTACAGAGCTGCCTGTCGTTGCATACGTTGGACCCCAAGCAAATGCTTACTCCCTCTCAAGTGCTCCTGCCTCTGGGCCTCGCTGCTGAACGTCGACGCGTGTCCACAGCTGCATTTGGCGGGAGCAGATGTTGAAGTGATTGGCTGTATGCAGCGCACCTTAGACATACGGCGAGGGGCCTTGGGCGACATTGAAAAGATGAGCGCGTGAAAACATGCGACATGGCTGCTCAAAGAGTTATATAGGAGCAGATTTGCAAGAACCTAATCAGACAGACGGCGTCCGTCTGCCAAATAATCGCGCCAGCGACGTGAGACGCCGAGACACTTTGGTTGTCCAATTTCCAGACTCTCTCAAAGAGGAGGTCGATGGTGTCGTGGTGAACCGCAAACGAACAATGTGGGATACCGAGTAGAGCATGTACCTGCAGAACACTAGATTGGCATGTTTACCCTAGTGCATGTTGAACCGAGTCGCTTCAACACAAGTACTACTTACCTTAGCACACTGTCAGCGACTCGGAAGTGACCCCAAGTTCGGGTTCGCGCCGCGAGCAGACGACTACACCTGGTTGAAAACGGTACATGCTGGTCATGGCCGTTGTGTACCCAGGCGTGATTGCGTCCAACAGAGGAGGCTCGTCAAAGGGCATGCTACGGTTGGAATTATGTACTGACATTCCGATTCAGATTGGGCTGTCGCTACGCGGTCACGTGTTCTACGCAGCCTCTCCGAGCTCGCGCGTCTTCACTCGAGCTTCACTCCTTCCACGCACTTACCAGCCAAGGCCATCCTTTCATCATGAGCACGCTATCGAGTCCAAAGGCCTCGGAGCCACGACGGAAGCGTTCTCGCGCGGAGTCCGACTGTACCATGCAGTCAGAGGATGCATTCAGCCGGGACGGGCGGTTCTGGTACGACGACGGGAACATCATCATCATCGCTCAAGGTATCGGGTTTCGCGTGTTCAAGGGCCTGCTCGCCGCAGAATCCGATGTATTTCGCGACATGTTCACTCTCGCCAAACCTGCTCCGGATCTCTCGCGGGAACTGGTCCCGGACGACTGTCCCGTTGTCCACGTCACGGATACCGCGGCCGAAATTCGTTCGCTCCTGGCAATGCTTTTGGGTGGTAGACAGTGCGTATGCTGAGCAACTTCCCCTTGTACCCAGATTATACTCATTCTTACCCTGTAGGTATATGCGACGCGTCAAGTTCGAATTTGACGATGTTGCGAATTGCATGCGTCTCGCGCACAAATACGGCATTCAGGACTTGGTCGAGGATTCACTGGAGGAACTGAAGCGATATTTTCCGGAGGATTTTGAATCCTGGGAGAAGAGCCTCGTCTGTGATCAACTCACAAAGGCTATCACCGCCGTGAACTTGGCACGTCTCACCAATAGTCTGTCGATCCTCCCCGCTGCTCTATACCGCTGCTGTCTATTGTCGGGCAAACAACTTTTGGAAGGAAGGGTGTACATGGGTGCTCTTGTGGACGCATTGAGCTCCGAGGATCTTGCGCGGTGCATCGATGGAACGGCAAAGCTCTGCACGCTCAACGTTCGATCCGCACAGGAGCTTTTCGCTCCCCTCGAGAATGCGGACTGTGTAGTCTCCGGTGGTCGGTGCAATGCGTCTATTGCCACTATACGGTCAGAATGGGTTGAAGGCATTCGGCGGGGTAGCTGTGATGTCCTTGATTCCTGGGGTCAGATCATCTGCAGTTATGATCGGAAAAAGAAACCAAAACCGACCTCGCCTCTTTGCGGATCATGTATCTCCCTACTCAAGCACAGAGACGTGGAGATACGCAAGAGGGTTTGGTCAAACCTACCGGAGATACTGGAATTGAAGGAGAGTGTCGAGGAAGCGATGCCTCAGGATGATACCTGAATCATTGTAATGTAAGTCGTTTGATTATGCCAGAGTGTGTGACCTTGACATATACACTTAGCCTATTCCGTAGTTTGCATCACGTTGCGCATTATATGTCACAGCTAGTTGCAGAACATTAGGCGCAGACGAATGCGCGCGACATATGATGACAAATAGGCGCTATCCACACGAAGACGTCGGTTTACCCACTTCACCACACCTCGCACCACCATTTTTTTTTGCGTTGCATCGATTGTCCCTGCAGCAGCCGTCATGAGAGGCATGTCTTGCAACTCGGTGAACACGACCCCGTGGACGCCTTGCAGGAGTACTGGCCAGTGCCCGCAGACAATTGAACGTGTATCTGCCCCTACACCCAGGTCTACGACGTCTGTCGGACTCGTCCATTGTAGCTGACTGCAAGCAGTGGTGTAGGGGAGGCATTATTGCATTGTTACTACTCTCAATGGAATATACATTAATAGAGTGTCCGAGGAACGTGACCGCGTCGCTATTGCTCGGTACAGGTGCTAGTGCAGACGACTGTGAAGCCGCAAAAACATGATGGTGCAGAAGTGGGTGAACCAACGTCAACTGTGGCGCGACGCTTATTTGTCATCATATGTCGCGCGCGTTCGTCTGCGCCTAATGTTCTGCAACTAGCTGCAATGGACCATGCAATTATGGAGATCTCGAGGACTTCGTGTCGACATCATTCTTTGGTCATTCCTCCACACCAGCAGCAGTGTACCGATCTTCGCATTCCCATATCCAGACACACGAGTATGGTGCCGTACTACACTTCTTCGACCGTCTGATTCTGTCTCTATCTCGTCATCA